CGTGGCATGAACGAATTTCTTCGCTTCGATTCCGCCCCTAAAGCTAGCTCCTACTCCTCCTCCTTCTCCTTTAGGATAGGATCCTCCTTGGTCCTTTTTACATCACACTCGGCCGCCCAAGAGGACTGGCTATCTTTCTCTTTATACGCAATATCTTGAAAGGTAAAGAAAAAGATCTACCGTGGCCTTATGTTGGCATGGGATTTGGGTTACAAGCAGGTCATTCTTGAAACAGATTTAGAATATTGTTTGCATGCTGTGATTCATTTGATTTTCTCTAATCACCCTCAAGTACAACTAATCCAAGCTTGCAGGAATCTTGTTCAAAGGGATTGGCAGTGCTTTTGTAAGCATACTCATAGAGAAGAGAGAAGGTAAGATCGCAGTCGACTGGTTGGCATCTGAAGTTCTGAAGCATCCGCCGGGTTATCAACAGCTTCTGACCTGTTTGCCTGAACATAAGATACTTAAAAAAGAAGAAAGAAAAGGAAAACCTTATTGTAAATGGCACGAGAAATGGACTCACTATACAAATAATTGTGTAAATTTCAGGAATCTGATTCAAGATTACTTGGACAAAGGTTTGTTCCGGATAGCAGACCGACCAATGGGAATCGAGACATCACCGTTTACGGGAGCAGTAGAGAGATCAATATGATGTCTGCTGACTTAAGGAAGTTGTATGACCCACAGAAAAAGTTGGAGGTGGCTGAGCACATCCCATCCCACAAGAGTCAAGCCCTTCAACGGGTTAAACGTGCCATAAATGGGCTTTTAGTGGACTCAAAAAAGAAATCTTGATATAATAGATATCCCGGTAAGAGGAGGATAAAAAAAGCTTATGATGAGCCCATCACAGAGATGCACAGAGGAAGAGAACGAACGTCAGTCTCTTAAGCGACCGATTAAGAAATGCAAAGATAAGGGGAATGGTTAGTGATGAGGGCATAGGACAGAGAAATTTCCTTCTCACTCTTTTAAATCCCAGGGATTGCCTCAGGGAAGAGGCCAGTCCCTGAAAAAGCCATCTCGATTGGTATCATTCAAATGCGAATATAGGCCTGATTGAAGCATAAAAGTGAAATAATAATAATGAGAGGCTTTTGTCCGTTGATGGTCATCTTACCTGTCTCCTACGCTACGCTCTCAACTGGATCAATCGCTTTGTCCTGATTTATTGAAGAGGTGCCCTGTGGAACATGTTTTATGGAATTGAACTCTTTATTCCATATTTCTTTTCTTACTGATTGAATGAAACTTATGTAGTCGATCATGATGGGAAGATCCCGCTAGGATCTCGGCACCCCTCCTCTGCACTTATTCCATCTATTTAGTCAATGACTCAGCCTTTAGTCTGCTTTGAATGATCCTATCTGCACTTATTCCATCTATTTAGTCAATGTAAGTGATTTCATACGTCAAAGTCTAATGAGAAGATATTAAGAGTCAATGTAAGTGATTTCATACTCCATAAATATCAACTAGAATAGTTGGCAAAGGCAATCTTTCGTTAAAAGTCATTTCAGTACATATACACTATAGATTCTCTTCGTTATATCACTTTTATATCTCATCTATCTTACTTCTTGATTAAGCAGCCCTGGAATCACTTCACTCCGGGCAACAAGCCTACTCATCATCAAAGCTAGTCCAAGCCCATGCAAAAATGACCTCATTATCATGGGAGCCCTTTCCTTACTCCTCAATATAGTCGTTCTATACATTAAGATTTACAGCACCTATTCAGGAGCTGGGGAATCGGCTTGCAAGGAAAATCTTGATTGAAAGTCCATATCTTTCTATTTTCCTCTATCTCCGGCTAGAAAAGAATGTATGCGTCAAACTTTGATGTCTCACTGGTTTAAGATACGACGAGATAATCATCAAAGTTTGGGAATCTCAACGGGAATACCTCACTGCACCGGTACCGGTTATGAGCCACATTCAACGAAGAGTTTCTGGTCTTTGTCCCCTTAATGCATTATAAATTGCAAGGAAAAATGAAAAAAAAGTGGAATTCTATAGGTTTAGCTAAGACGATTTCGGAAATTAAAACTTATTCCTTTTTTGTTTGGTGCGAGCTCAACTTAAGCTATACATTGCTCCGAGAAGAGCGGTTTGGGTGCACCCAAACCGCTCTTCAACCACTTGCGGCAGAATTTCCAAATCTATTTAGTATGGAGATGTTGGCACAAGAAGGCAACTCTCATTATATATCAATCTTTTGCTCTGGCTACTATTGACTTGACTACATTGTCTCACTGAGCAGTGTTTTCTCATGGAGGAAAGAAAGATGGGCCAAATCATGCGGGTAAGTGCCCAAGAAATTTAATACTAGCTACTTCCACTACTGTCACCCCTAAGTATTGCGTTATCTATGAGAGTTGGCCATTTGAAGAAAAGACATCGGATTATACAAAGTGCCCCTAATGCTATGATGTTGACACAATCTAGTTGGCGGCATTTTCTAATTGAAAAACATAAAAGATTATTTGGATCATTGTTCCAATGTATCTCAGCCTTTCTGCAAGTTCCAATTTAGAAGGCTGAAATTGACCATTAGAAAACAAAACAATGGCCAATAAAAAGAATTCTCATTTGAAGTTGATTTTAATGAGCATAAAACCAGGCGAAGAGTCTAATTACTGCTTTTTGTTTCACTTTATAGGGTAGGGTCACCGTGCCTATGTGGGTCGTAGAAAAGAAAATACATAAAGCCTAACAAGCGATCCATGCTTCCTTGAAATTTGCCAGAATTGTCATCACCTATGGTTGATTAAGAAAAAAAACTGAAAACAAGAGACCTGGTTTTTTTTCCAGTTTCTAATTCCAGAATGTCTGCATCTATTGTTCTTGTTATAGATAAATGTTTAGATGAACTACACCTCCTGAATTACATCCCTCCTTGCATGCATTTGTTGATTCACTTCCCTCGACAACGAGAATTTAGAGTATATTGTATGGCCGCACAGTATTTTATGATTTTTCGGAGGAATTTATAGCATCCATCTGCTAATGTGTAATGTGCTGCCTGGTGACAAATCACCAACTCAGGAGTCCTTGAAAGCCTTGATTACGGAACTGACATATACTTGTCCCCAATGCATGCATCATCAGAAGTGGCACACAAAATATTCTCATCACTGAGGCCATACAAATTGAACATTCCAGAAGCTTCTAGAGACCGGCGCCTGGGTACGGCAATTGAGGTTGCTCCTGCTATAATTCAAGGGCCATCAGCAGAAATGTCTCGAGGAGTAGTTAAACGGGCAGGAGATAATAAAGAATAATTGTGTGCACTGGTGGACCTAATACTTATGTACCCGGGCTAGCGCCCTCTCTCTTCTGTGCCCTCTCTCTCTAGCAGAATGCTATCTGTTCTTATTCATATATTACCTTCCATTATAAAAAATAAAAAATAAAAATGAAAAATGTTAAGATATTCTTAATGATATTCGGGCTTCTACCCAGCAGAGTCTTCCATAACTGACCGACCGGTGAAAGGATAGCCGGACCCGTTGAAAGCCGGCAGTTATTGATGGCTCGGAAAGAAAGCTGGGCTAGGTCTTCTTCCCTTAGAGAGGCTTATTCTCCTTTCCCGAGTTCTCAAATATTTGCTTTTGTCTCTGTTTATTCTATTATTAGTTCTATTGTTCCGATCCGCTTGTGTTTCAGGAAATCAAACCGAAGTCAATTCATTCAACAAGATCTGTTCGGATCAGATCTACCAGCGACCGGTTTACGGAACAAGGAGTTAAGCAAGGGCCAGGAGATTGATAAAAGAACCTGGCCGAAGTAAGTCTTGTGTTCAATTCCGCGGTTGGAAGGATTTCTTTCTGCCATCTGTCTTTCCCTTCTCTCTCTTCTCTTAGCAAAGGTAGGTGAAAGTAAAACCTTTGGCTTGCGGGCTCAGGGACTGCAGTCAGCTGCTTCCCCTGTAGCCGTCAGCTCGTTCTTGACAGATCCGATCGGGTGTTCATAATCTGGAGTAAAAGGATTCGAACCTTTGCATGCCGGTACCAAAAACCGATGCCTTACCACTTGGCTATACTCCATAGGCCTGTTTTGGACGGTAGGAACGGGGAGAGGGGGAAGGGAGAAGCAGGGCTCGAAGAACGAGCCGAGCCGTGCAAGGACGCGGGGATATAGCAAGTAAGCAGCAAGGTTCTCCCCTTAGGACCGACTACAACAAGCTCGCGACTCTAATAGAAAGAAAGGGTAAGCTCTCTGCTCTATTTGCTTGCAATGCTATGCCTATCAAAGTTGGCGAAGGCTTCTGTAACCTTAGACTCGTTACGCTGTTCGACCGAACTCGTTGGCTCCGCGTCCACCGAAAGTCGGTAACCTTCGTCACCGTCAGCATTTGGTACTCTCTCGATAGCTTCAATAGTTCACTGAAAGCCTTTGGTGTAATAAACCGCAAGCCCTTCAGAAAGAAAGACATAATATAATAATGAATTAATTAATAAACATTAATAATTCAAAAAAGAAAGGGTTGGTTAAGAACTATTGACTGTAAACCATAGCAGTTACAGTCACTCAATGGAGATGTTCGCCTTTGTTTGGAATGAAGATGGATGAACAGGCACTTGAGCCTGGAACTGATGAAATTCGGGGAAAACATGGAAGCGGTCACTATACTGGGGGGGCAAGACATGACCGCGACTTAAGAAAAAAGTACCCTTGAAAAGACTAAAGGAACGGGGGAATGACTACCTGTAATAAAGCACAGGCTAATACGAGCCGACCAGAAGAAGCAAGGCTTAGATTACCAGATCCTGGACACAATCTTCCTAGAGATGGAGAGCCACTTGACTGTAAGGAAAGGGGCCCTTGGGCCACTTGCCTCGCCCTTTTTTTTGCACCTATCCTTCTTGCTTGCTTACCTATAGCTCTCTTGTCTTAGTGACTCTTCCTCTTTTCTAGGTTTTTTTTCTGAGTGTTAAAACGATAGATTTTTCATTTGCCAATGAATTGGATCCGCCCCGATTCGATCAATAATGGGATTCTTGGCTAGAGAAAGGTTCTGTGACATGGACGCCCAGCCCAACTCGGTCGGTCGGTTGGCCCACCTAACAGATGATGATATTCTCGATCGATTTGATCGAATTTCATTCTTTCTCACTATTCAGAACAGTGGAGCTTTCGATCAAGATCTTCTCGCCTCACCCGTTTGGGCTCTCGCTCGAATCGGAACCTTTATGCGTAGGTAGGCTTTCGACTCAATCTAATAGCCTACCTATCGGGCGCCAATAAAAGAGAAAGTTTTCGCATGGGCTCATCATCTGATGCAGAACCGATGCGAGAGGGAGAAGCGGGGATTGATAGCTTTCAAGAACCAGTGGAAAGGAAAGACTTCTTCCCTGCATTCCTTCCTTTCCAAAAAAAAGGAAATTTGTTTGGGCAAAAACCTTGGTAGTTTTCAAACAAATCCAATGTTGGGCCAAGCCTTGCCAGCCGGTAATAGCCGAAGGCATAAAAGGGGGAGATAGGGAAGAGGAGATTAAGGATAGTCACTCCACTCCATAGATAGTGCACACAGATTCTTCTTTCATTTTCCATTCCTTTCGGGTCGGAAACGCGGGCTGCTAGTGGGGCTGTGCCCATTCTCCCTCTTCTTCCGCTTTACAACCGGAATAAGGAACCTTAGAATTCACCCTACCTGTCGATGAAAAAATGGGATTTGAGAGGAGCTGAAAGCCACTTGACTCTAAGGAGAGGACCACCCGCTAGCGGATCAGAAAGATTTGTATGGAATGTCCTACTCCTGCCTGAGCTTTCCGATCAACCAATCCCCTATTTCAGGGACATCTGTGTTAGGTAGGCCCAGGGATCACTGATTAGTCGAATGAGCCCATCTCTCTGGCCTATCATTTGTTGGTCGATCCGGCTGGCGGCTCCTGCATCTCCTGCCTCTCTATGGGGCCCTTTTTTTAGACTAGTTTGCTGCTAGGAGTCCCTAGAGTCGAATTAATAATCAATAGAAGTCCCAATAGAAGTTGACTGACCTGGCTCTTCAATCGACGATCTACTGCTCCCTCTTAATAGCAGATGCCCATGCTTGATTCGAAAGCCCTAGCCATCCCCAGGTATTCAGTGTCTGGTTCGATAGACCAGGAAGAAGTCCAGGAACCTCCCACCCCCTCTCAGTAGCTCTCCCCCTGAATCCACTCCCAACAACTAGCAACTTCTGACAGCCGAATAAACAACGAACATTTAAACAATTCCTGCCTACCTGAGATGGAGGGAGGCATGACTCGTCCTGGACCTGATCTTGAATCCTACACCGTTCATGATGCGATGGAAGTTTCTTTTTCCAGATCAACCTAGTCACGGAGCTCTCAACTGAGTTGTTTAGGTTCTGGAATTCCATCTCTAGTTGGGGCTTTCGATTCGAAAAAATGTGGTGCGGGTTCATCTCTCTCGACCAGTTCAGGTGAGAGGGAGGATGTAATTCAGCTCGAATGAAGTGAGAGGGCTGAAAAGGAAGCTCGACCTACAGGGAGAGGGAGGGTGATCGAGGGGACCCAGACTTTCGATCTCTTCTCTATGGCGGGAGGTTTCTTTCGTATCAAGAGTGTGTTGGGGAGGCCAGGGAAGATGGATTGGATCGAGAGGCGATGCTTATGCCTCTTCTTTCTCGATAGGATTCCCATCATTTTCAGTCTACGGCGAAGGAGACAAGGGCGAGGCACCGAACATGTTCTACCCTCAACCTCCATCCGTCATTAGTAATCTCAATTCGCTTTTCCTATTCACTAGTACACTGCGCGCTACAACTAGCAGCCCCTTTACTAGGTTGGGAAAAGGCTAGCGCGCTAGCGCGCAACGGCTGATGAAAAGCCAGCAACTTCTTAGGAGTCAGATAGGGTTGGAACCCTATACAAGGGGCTGCTTGCTGCTCGCCCCTATCTCTAAAGTGGCTTATGCACTCCACTTGTTACCACTAAACGACGAAGCCAGGAGCGGAAGGAGGGACTTGAACCCTCAACCTCAGCCTTGGCAAGGCTATGCTCTACCATTAAGCTATTTCCGCCAGCTAGGGTAGTGGCGAAGCACTACTGAGCAATTCACGTATCACTTGATACGGACGACTTCTGTTTTTCCGCCGGACCACAGTCTTGACCTCCGATCGAGCTACGAACACGAGTAGATAGGCGGTTAGGGGGGGAGAGGGTCGGCTGGGCCTGCCTTTTCAATCAATCTCCGGCCGCTCAGTGCCGCGATTGGTGCGAGTTGTAAGGAGTCTTGGTCTCGAGTCAAGCTGGGGCGTCATTTCATTCTCGTAACGGGAATGAGTGCACCGCAAGACCAGACAAGTTGCTCCCTCGCCTCGCAGCGGCGGCATCTGTCTTTTAAGTTAAGTCATTTCCTAAGACGGCTCCTCTTATTCTACGATAATCCAAGCTGCAGCGGCACCTCACGAACTTCTTACTGGGGCAGTACTATAATAGGCATTTGCGAGTGTTTGGATGCACGTGTTTTGTTCATATTCCTGCGCAGTTAAGAGAAAAATTGTCCCCAAGGCAACCACTTGTGTCTTTCTTGGATATGCTCAGTCCGGGTATATATATGCTATGACGTGAAATCCAAGAGAGTCGATGTATCCTTAATGCTCTCTTTAATAGGGTCGCCTCATATTTTCCTTAACCTAATTAATCAGCCCCGGGGGAGAATGATGATGGAGATGTATTGCGGCCTTCTCCTGTTCATCAACTCGAACCTCATTCTTCTGCAGTTGATGTTACGGATTAGCCGCACTCTTCAGGCCAGCAGCTTTGCTCAGCATTTTCTGCCGACTGTCAGCCTGTTCAGCTGACCTCAGAGGATTCCTGTCACCCGGCACAGCATGTTTATTCTCGGCGGCGATTACAGCCTCTTTCCCAGGGTCAGGCTACTCCAGAAGATCAGCAGTCTAGCCCAGTTGCTTCCCTTCCAGTCGCTTCCTAAAATTCTGGATCCCGCTCTCAGCTTCGTCGATCCTCTCAAGTTTCTTATCCTGTTGAAGGCTTATGAATCGTTTTCCCCAAAACAAAAGATCGAGCTTACCTCATCTCAGTTCAATCTTCTCATGAACCTGAATCATTTGCTGAAGCCTCCAATCATTCTTGCTGGAGAGATGCTATACAGGAAGAAATCAATGCCCAGGAAAAAAATAATAAGACTTAGTCTCATTGCCTGCAGGGAAAGAAGCCATTGGCTGCAAGTGGATTTACAAGATCAAGCATAAAGCAGATGGCTCGGTAGATAGATACAAGGCTAGATTAGTAGCTAAAGGATTCCTTCAAGAATATTGAGTCGAACCCCTTTCCTTACAGTCAAGTGGCCCAAGGGCCCCCTTTAGAGATAGGGAAAACATTTGCTTCAGGTTGCTAAACACCATTCGTGGCATTCTTGCCTTGGCTGCAATCAAAAGGTGGCCTTATTTCAATTTGACGTGCAGAATAGAATGCCTTTCAACAACATAAGGGAAGGGGGCAAGAATAAGTTTCTATTCAGCCTCCTCCAACTCCAGGCTTCTCTTCTCCTAGGAATCCTAACTTGGTATGCAAGCTCAAGAAAGCGATTTATGTTACGGCCTCCGGCAAGCTAAAGCAGGCACAAGAGCTTGGTTTGAAAGGTGACAGCAGCATGTATAAGAGCCGAAATAGGAGTAGAGGAAGGAGCCGGTTTTCAAATAAGTAAATCGGATCATTCAATGTTTATAAGGAGGTCGACATCAGGTATTGTCCTTCTTCTGCGTGGATGACATTGCTTTCTCTAGTAATGACTTAGCTTCGATAAATGCGCTTAAGAGAAGATTAAGAACCCAGTTTGATATGAAAGATTTAGGAGACTCAAAGTCTCTTCTGGAGATTAAAGTGATGAGGTCGCAAAGAGTTTTGGAACCCAGTGCAAGTATTCATTGGATTTATTGTCAAAAGCTGGTCTTTCTGCATGCAAACCGGAATAAGATATAAAATTAGCCTCAGATGCAGGAGAGCTATTGGATGACCCATCTACTTGCAAGGAGACTTGTTGGGACTCTTTTCTACCTGACTAATTATCGCCCAGACATTGCTTACACTTACAACATAGGAGGGAGTGATCAGCCGATTTTTATATGGACAAGCCGAGATCATCTCACTTAGAAGCTGCTTTTCGGATTCTGCGATACATCAAAACCTCACCGGGAAGAGGTTGATTCTTGTCTACGTCATCCTCTCTTCAGCTGTCTTGTTACTATTATACTGATTTCATTAAGGCAGTAGATTATTCTGATTGGATTTCGAACATCGTCCCCATGCCCAAGAGGGATGGACGTGTTCGCGTATGCATCTATTTTTCTCAATAAAGCATGTTCCCAAAGATGATTTTCCGCTGCCGAACATTGATTTGCTTGTGGACAAGACTATTGTTAAAGTATGCCTACTACTCTTTTCTGACGATTCGAAATTCTCGTCGTCGGCTTCCTCTCCCTGTAGGTCGAGCTTCCTTTTCAGCCCTCTCACTTCATTCGAGCTGAATTACATCCACCCTCGAGGTAGAGTTCGTTTTGTAATAGGAGCCCCGTTGGGCCTTTACGGAGCTTGGCCTGCTTTCGCATTAACTCACCATTTGGTGATTTGGTTCGTAGCAGCCCAAGTATATCCAGGAGTTCCTTTTACACGCTACGCTATCCTCGGCGACGATATCGTCATCGGAGATGAGCGGGTGGCTGAGCGTTATCGCGAGCTAATTCCGCCACTGAATGTTCCATTTTCGTTAGAGAAATCGTTAGTATCGTCAGTTGGTGCTTTGGAGTTTGCTAAGCGGTTCTTCGTACGCGGAGTGACTAAGGACTTTTTTCCTGTCTCCTGTCACATGTTAAGATCCTTAGTTAGTTCCATATCCCTTGTTCCTGTAATGAGGGCTATTATGTCTAAGAATCTTCCATTGTCGTATCGTTTACGGGAAGCTGGGTACCGGGTGTATACTCGACGCACGGCGCCTCCTAGGAGACACTGGAATCGGCATTTCCTCGTCTTTCACTCACCGAACGGTGTGTGTCCTCTCCCCTTTTGGATCTGGTTAAGCGCAACCACTGGTAAACACTTAACCTCTTATCAACAAGGTATGGTGAGGGGACCTGATTAGGCTCTTGACCCCTCGATTCCCGAGAAACTCGGTGATCTCGAAGTTTTTCGAAGCCTGGTCAGAGTACGACTGGTTAGGGGGGCATGGGTTTTGTCCGAATGGATGAAGTCCATTCTCTCTTACTGGTCTTGGTATTACACTATCGCGGAGGAAAAAAAGACTCCCATTGAGGCGCTACTTAGCCCGTAGGTTGTGCCACTGGTGACTAACCATACAAATAAATTTTATAATTTTAATAATAACTAATAACGGCGCAGTCTTCCGGTGTTACGACCTGGTGCTCTCTTGTGAAGAGCCAAAAGC